GACTCGGGCGGCACGCGGTCGTAGTAGATGGCGTCGTTGTCGCTGGCGTAGGCCTTGGCCAGCTTGACGAGCTCATCCCGCTCGGCGCCGTAGACGTTCACGAACGACTGGAAGGCCGCGTCTGTGAACCGGCCCTTGGGCTTCTCCGGCACCTCGCCCACGGCCTTCTGCATGTAGGCCACCGCCCGGCCGTACTCCCTGTTGACACCAAAGTGAGCGACAATAATCAAAAAAAAAAATTAAATTGATCTTAACAATGTATTAATGAAACAAATAAAAGCATAGAACAAAAATTATAAAAAGAGGGGTACCCATTGGCGTGGGCATCGCGGGCGAGGTGTTTGTAGGTGAGGCCAGAGAAGAGGAGGTTGTTGAGGGTGAGATAGAGGCGGAACGACTCGACGAATTCGACCCCGGTTATGGCCTTCAGCGCAAACGACGCCTGAATGAACGAACGCTTTGGGTCAGCCACATTGATCTCCCATCGTCAATCAGTGCGACACGACAACGTACGTTGTTGTACTTCTGAGAGATGTCGAGGATGAGCTTCGACAGCAGGGAGTCGCTGGTGCCCTTTGCCATCGCCTTCTGCACCGCGATCTGCTGCGCTTCGGCGAGACACAGACTGCCGTCGCCCCACACGACCGTGAGTACCAAACCACGCGGCAATCGCCGTCATCAGGCCAGCAGCAACGCACTTGATGAAGAGGGTCTGGAAGTGCTCCGTGATCTCGGCCACCGGCGGGTCCAGCCTGCCGTGTCGCGTGGCCACCGTCAGTTCGCCTTCGAATTGGACGCAAAACGGGGGGAAGTAGTACTTGACGTTCTTGAACTGGAGGCATTGGGTGTCTCGTATGAACTCGAAGATGCCCGCAGCCATGCAGAGCGAGCGAGCGACCTGTGTGGCAAAGGAGAACTATGACGACACACGCACGCACCACCGCACACGACACGCACGGCTGACTCACGATTGAGTGGTGCGCACCTCTTTGGAACCCTCATCGAAGGCCTCCTGAGAAGCGAAGATGGTGCCGAATCGCTGCGCGGCCGCAGCTCTGTGGAGGAATGCGGCCGTCTGCAAGAGTGTCGCGGGGAGAGCGATCAGATACCACAGAGCCGTCAGCAGCTGCCAGCTGTGGTGACGTTTGGCCCGCACCATGTAGGAGAAGAACAGCTCTGACGACATGCTGTTGAACACCATCGGGTTCTTCAAGAAGTTGACGCTGACGCTGCTGGTCCAGCACACCCCTACGCACCATAGCATCATATCAATATATATCAGTGTTGATCTATAAATAAATAAATAAATAAATAAGTAAATGTGAAGCGTACGAATGTTCCTGGCCACCGGGTTGCCCGTTGCCGCGGCCGCTTGGCCCAGTCCCTCCATCTGCACAGCACACCAGCAACACATGGCACGCGTTCACTCAGGGACCGCACACATGCACACGGGAGGCGAGACACGATTTCTTCGTACCAGACCCAGCTCGCATGGAATGTACGCATCGAGCGACTGGTCTCCCACCGCACACGCACGACCGCACACGCACACGCAGTAGTTAAGGAGGCGGTAACTTAACAATAATATAAAAATAATAATAATAATAATGTAATGAATAAAAATGTAATATAAAAAGTCTGCTTACGCGTAGGGCGGCTTCGGGGGTGGAGCGGGTGAGGGCGCTGACGAGTTCTTCGCGCGTGCGGGAGATGCGCTGGAGCAGCTCCTTGGTCTCGTTGTCGCCCTCCCGCACCCACTGCTCAAAGGCCAGCTTGGTGGTAGGCTGCATGAGGCCCACCACGAACACGTGCATGGGGAACTCCGCATTGTCCCCTCCTCCACCGCCGCCCGGGGCACCACGGCGGGCCGTCGGCGACGAAGGCGATGCTGGCTGTCCCGCGTTCATTTTTTTTAAATCTGTTATGTTCTGATAATAAATAGTTTATCATTTTGGATTTATCACCTAATTTTCATAAAAGAAAAAGGATGTGAGTGTTCCGGCAAAAAATTCAATAAATAATAAAATTTTTATTAAAAAGCCTTTTTACATAGGGTTTCTAGAGATCACAGAGTGTCGTGGGCCTCGTCGAGTGCAAAGTTGACCTGGCCGATGTTGAGCCCCTTGTTGATCTGGTAGGTCTTGTAGGCGGCCAGGCCCTTGAACACGCCGTACGCGGCTACCACGCCCACCACCAGCGCCACCGCTCCTCCTGCAATCGCACGAAACACGACACACGGCACACGCACGCAACACGACACAACACACGGCACACGCACGACACGCACACGATACGACACACGTAAGCTCAAGCTAAGGCTTATCTTTGCAATACTTCAGAGAAGAAGCTTACCTCCGAGAGCGCCACCGACGGCGGCGTAGGTTGTGGACTGGTCGCTCGAGGAGCTGCCGCGCTCCTGCGACTCGGAACAGTCGGCGCCGCCCCAGAACGGCAGGCACATGCACACCGGCGGGTTCGTGTCGCCGTTGCACTGGCCATTGCCCGAGCAATCGCCCGGACAGATCGCTGTTGCATGTCTCTAGTCAGCTCACGCGTGTGTCGTGTTGCGTGCCGTGTGTGTCGTGTCGTGTCTCGTGTGTTGTGTGTTGTGTGCGTGGTGGGTGACGGTACGGGTGGCGCAGTCGGGACCGGTCCAGCGCGCGTCGCACCGACACTCGGCCGGTTCGACGCTCGAGTCGCAGCGGCCGCGCCCGTTGCAGTTCTCCTCGGCGCCGGGGCATCGCACCACCGAGCAGTCGGAGCCGCGCCAGTTGTCGCCGCACTGGCACGTCCCGTTGACGCACGTCCCGTGCTCGCTGTCCGTACACTCGTCCGGGAAGCCCGGGCACATCGGTTCATCTAAAAATGTAACGCGTGTGCGTGTGCGTGTGCGGTCGTGCGTGTGCGTGCGCGTGTGAGTGCGACGACATGTGTGCTGTGGGCGTGTGCGGGTGCGCGTACAAATGGAGCACGAGTTGCCGTAGAAGTACGGATCGCACATGCATGCGGGGCTGGCCAGATCAGTAGAGCAGGCGCCGTGGCCAGAGCACTCCGCCTGGCCCTGGGCCGCAGCACACGTGGCTACAAAGATATGCGAGTGCGAGTGAGAAAAGAGCGAAGGGCGAAGAACGAAGAACGAAGTGCAAAGAAAGAAGAACGAGGGGAGGTACGTGAGAAGCAGTCGTTGAGGGGACCGCTCGCCCATCCAGGCCGGCACTGGCATGCTGGCTGGGCAGCGCCGCCCGCCAAGCAGGAGCCATGGCCGGAACACTCGGGGAAGACCGAGAAGTCGTTCACCGAAAGGCAGTACGCTGCGCCCACACACGACACGACACGACACGACACACACGACACACAAGGGTCAGTCGTGTGTGAGAGGGAACACAGAGGGAAGGAGTTGGGTACGAGTGTTGCAGTCAGCGCCGCGCCAGTCTCCATTGCAGGCGGTGCAGTACTTGGAGGTGCCGTTGCCCGCCACGCACACGTCACAGTTCGGGGCCGAGGCGCAGGCGGTGAGCGCCACCGAGCAGTCGGGTCCGGTCCACCCGGCCGCGCACACGCAACGCGGCGGGTCGAGCCCCACATCCACGCACTTGCCGTGGTTCGAGCACTCCGTGGCCCCCGCCGCACACTCGGCTGCACGACACACGCGACACACGACACACACGTTAGACCTGCTCAATTCTGTCGCCAGAGCAAGACTTGGTTCGCACCGACGGAGCAATCGGGGCCGATCCACCCGGGGCTGCATCGGCACTCGACGGCGTCCGTCGTGCCATTCACCACGCACTCGCCGTGGTGGTTGCAGTCCGGCGACCTGCGCGATCGCTGATTAGTGAAAGGCCACAGCTCGATTGGGCAAGAGTGAGGAGTGAGTGGCAGGAGCGCACCCGGGGCAGTCGGTGTGCGAGCAGTCGACCCCGCGCCAACCGGGAGGGCACGAGCACAGGCCCGACGTGCGGTTGCACGACCCGCGGCCCGAGCACTCGTTCGCACTCTGGCCCGGGCACCGCGCGTAGGCTGGTGGGGTGGTGCAGGAGGGAATGTCAACAATACAGAGTTAGTTCGTCGCAGAGAAAAGAGTAAAGATTGGTTTGGTACCGAGGGAGCAGTCGAGGTCGGGGCCGAGCGCCCACCCCTCGAAGCATTGGCAGTGGGGCACGCCTGAGTCGGCGTCGGTGCACACGCCGTTCTCCGGGCTCGTGCAGTTGTTGCTGCATATGGGCACTACACGCCGATCGTGGCGCCCATTGCCTTGCGTGAGTGTGTGCGTGTGTGCGGTGGCGTGTGTGCGTGTGTGGTTATTTGCAAATTGTGTGCGCGGTACCAGAGCAATCGTTAGGCTGGCCCGCTGGACCGGTCCAGTTGGCCTGGCATTGGCAATAGGGCGTCGTCGCGGTTTTACAGAAGCCGTTGTTGCTGCACGCTGGTTCTCCCGGACAGTCCGCTGATCGTGGAAAAACGAGATGAAAAGGTTGGTTGTGTGCCATCAAAACATAAAAGAGAGTCGGCACTTACGTATCTCACAGGCGAAGCCAGTCCAGCCAGAAGGGCACACGCAGCGGGCTGGCTGGAAACCGCCGTCGCAAGTTCCACGGCCACTGCATTCTGCGCCCGCCAAAAGGAGTGCGTAAGTGCATCGATTGTCCTAAATTGAATTATAAATAGAAATAGAAATACAGAACTTTGAAAAAACTAACATAAAAATATAAGAAACAGAACATTATAGCATACCAGGGGATCCAGGGCAGTAGTCTGGGATGGCGATGTAGATGTAAAAAGAGGGAATTATTAGTCAGTCAGGCGGAGCGAGCAAGAAATGGTGAGGAGGGCGACAACGCACAATGTTGGCAGGAGTCCCCGGTGCGGCCAACGGGGCAGTTGCAGTTCTGGGTCGCGCCTTCCAAGAGTATGGCGAACGAGTTCGAAGAGCTCGCCGAACAGGTGACGCCTGGCTCGCTCGGATCTGGTGTGTCGCGTGCACCGCGTGTGACGTTTGTGTCGTGTGTCGTAAGCGTGGTGGTGGGAGGATTTTGTTTTGCCCTATGTGCAGTTCGTACCGTAGGCGTTGCTGCTGTCTCCCTCGCAATACACTTGGCACCGGTCGCCGCCGATTGCCAAGTTGAATTCGCGGGCATGATCAGTGAACACGCCAAAGGTGCTCGTGCTATGGAGACGAGACATGCGGTGAGATCAACGTCACAAATAAAGCGGTAAAAGAAATGAAATCTGATAAAAAGAAATGTAAAACAATTCTAGAATTGAAAAAAATTGAAATGAAAAACAGATTAATAATAATATGGACTCAACTGCTGGGCGACGTACTAGCCCTCGACGGCGTCGTAGAGGAAGAATGCAGGGAGCTCGAGGCCGTAGGTTCCGAAGAGGAGCAGGGCGATGTTGTTCCGCAGCTTGTAGTGGCATCCCGAAGAAGGCAGAGGGAGACTGCGGGCCTGCGGGTCGATAATTTCGTAGTCTGGCACGATGAGGTAGGTCGATTTGATCTGGGAGGCGGTCACGTCCTCAGCTCGCGCGATTGGCAGAGTAACTGCGCCAGCAAGCCATCGTCACCCGTTAGAACTGTGCGAGTGTGTGTGCGTGCGGGCGTGCGCGTCGTGCAGCGAGATGGGCTACCATAGAATAAAAATTCGGTCTGGCCCACAACCGACAGGTTGCCCTCCACGAACCAGTTGCCCCACGTGTGCTTGAGCGTGACGTTGGGATAGAGCGTGGCCACGGTCACCTTTGGAAAGTGGCGTCATTAGCAGTGTGTATCGTGTGTGTGTGTGTCGTTACCTGTGCTCCGTAGTTGACATCGACGTTGCCCACAAATCGCATGCTGCCCTGTGCCCAGCCATTGATCGAGGTACTGGGCGAGGTCAACACACTGCGCGCACCATTCGTTCGCGAATGATTAGTCGGGCGGTCTGTGTACTGCACGAGCAGGACCGAGTCCTGCATGTCCGCACCTGAGCTCACCCTCCACGTCGGGCGCGTCCAGCGGGTTGACTGTGGAGCGCAGCACGCCGAAGGGGTTGACCACCACCCAATCCTTCACAGCCATTCTCGCTGTTATAAGGCCCGCGTAGTGAGTGTGTGTTGAGACATTCATCGACGCACACACAGAACAAGAAGATCATCGAAGTGGTCGAAGGGTACCTCCTCGTAGCACGACGGCAGCCCAGCACAACGCCAGGCCGGTGCTGTCATCGCAGCACTCCGAATCGGGCGAGCCCACCGTCAACAATCTTATAGACACCGTCTGCCCTGTTTGTAGCGGCTGTGCGTACATAAAAGATGAAAAATGTGAACACGACTCGCAGCATAGATTTGTTTGGGGGGGGGGTTGAATGGCACACGTACGTCGACGTAGACGCTGAAGGACGTATGGTTCCAGGTGGCTATTGATACCACATCGGCCGCCACGGGCACGCGCGGCTCGCCAGTGGCGACATCGCGCCAGCGCAGCGGGTCCCACCAGTGCCCATCTACCGGCTCGGCCCACACGATGGTCGTGGAGGGTACCCCTGGCAAAAAGAAAAGAAAAAGAAAAAGAAAACAATTATGTCGTCAGGGACAACGATCAACCAAAGAAGAAAGAAGAAGAACGAAGAAGACCAAAAGCGACGAGCTGTAATACTCGACTATCTGGATGTTGATTTCATAGTGTTGCGAAAAAACAGAAGATGTAGGCGTATGACCTAAACTAAATGACGATATGTAGCCAGGATGAATGTACCGTGTGTAGATAGGACGGCAGTGCCAAGGAAGAACAAGATAGGGACCACCAGTAGGAATGTCGAGTGCCACCGCTTTGAAGAGGGCATAGACGGCATTGCTGGTGCCGCGCACACTACCATCTTATGGGCGCGTACGTAGTTTTTGGGTAGTACTGCACCAACTGAGTTTGTGTACGTGTGCGGGGTTTGACCATTTTTCCAGCATGCGGAGCTGATCATTTTTCAGTGCAGAATTGCATTTTCTTCTTGTGGCTGCCTAACGCCGTTACAGACCGGACCTACACCGGCAACACAGCTGTGGTGAGAGCGGGTGTCTGATCACCGCCCACTTCTGGGCGTCGCTGGCCAGCTTGCACTCGACCCTCACGCAGTCCTTCTCCACGCACCTGTCGTTCGCCACCGCTCCACGATTCGCTGTAGAGTGTCGGACATCTTCGCTCCTGCGGGTCTTCTGCAACCACCAGGAGCTTGAAGAAGAAGGTATTTGGGCGCGGCAGTCCTTCTTGCCGCCGCCGAACGGGACGGTGTTGTTGGCCACTGGCTTGAACCGCGGTCAGGGTTGAACTGGGTCGGGTTGGCCCATAATAAACGCGGGTCCTGGGCGTGCTGTCCGCTTTGGAGTAAGAGCCTAAACTGCCGGAGACAATTAAAAAATAAAATTCCATACACTCTCGGCCTGAGATGCCACATGTTGTAACCTAACGGCAACTGTTGTTGTAACTGTCACACAACTGTCACTCCTCGCAGCTCTCCTACCACACTCCGCCTTGTAGCAACCATTCGCATCAAGAGAAGAGCAAAGATGCGCACAGAGGAGAGGAGATCAGCTCTCATGGTCCTGTTTTTCATTGTTGGCGTGGCCAATGCTCAGAGCTGCAAGCCAGTGGTATTGGCAGAGTGAAGTGGGTCGGTGTAGAAGAAGAGAGTGTATTGTGAAGATAGAAAAACAATTGAGGTAGGGAGATGTATATATATGTTTTTGGTCGCTGGGAGTCAGCTGGCTGACGCTGAGTAAATCCCTTGCATCCTAGGTTTATTACTAGGTAACTCTGTTACCAGGTAATTAACCTAGGAGGCTGGCTAGGATTCTGTCTGGGGAGATGGTTACTCGCCAACACGCCCCTTCAGCTGGCATGACATACAGATGTTGAGATTTCCAATTTGCTTCAGATGGACCAGTTGAGGATGAGGTAGAGCCTTGGTTAGCATGTCAGCAATCATCTGCTCAGTTGGACAGTAGGTCACAGTGGCCATCCCACTGGAGATTGTCTCATGTAGGTGGCAGACCTTGATATCAAAGTGTTTGGTTCTTGGATGGAACACTTGTTGAGTCTTGTGAGCAAGCATGATAGCTCCTTGGTTGTTGCTGTAGATCATGACTGGGAGAGTTGTGTTCAGTCCAAGGGGACAGAAGAACTTGCAGATGTAGAGAATCTGCTTCACAACTTCTGAAAGTGCAGTGAACTCAGCTTCACATGAGGAGAGTGTGATGGAGGATTGACTCCTTGAGGTCCATGCAAATGGTCCGCCACAGAGGTAGAGAATGAAGCCTGTGACCAATCACCTGTCAATGGTGTTGCTGCCCCAGTCTGAGTTGCACCACACCCAAGGGATGAGAGTGGCTGGATCTCAAAGATTGACATTGGCATGATCATAGGTGATGGTGAGGTTGTGTGTCCCATGGAGGTAGTGCATCACATGTTTGACCACAGCCCAGTGTGAGTTGTCATAGCCACACACAAACTTACTGAGGTAGCCAACAGTGTAGGCAATGTCCAGTCATGATGCTTGGGCGATGTACAGAAGTCCACCAATGGTAGGGGATCACAGTGTGCTCACTGGGGACAGAGCTAAGACTTAGCCCAACGTTCATGGGAGTGTAGTGGGGCTTGCAGTCAGTTAGGCCAAACTTGGTGAGAAGACTGTTGATGTGGCCAGCCTGATGCAGCTGGAGAGTGCCATGGCAATGATCTTGCAGGATTTCAATACTGAGGACAGAGGAGGCCTCACCCAGATCATTGATGTTGAACTTGGTTGAAAGGACAGACTTGGTCTCCTGCAGCAGGTTGTGGGTGGAGAAGATGGTGCAATTGTCCATGTAGAGAGACAGGAACACAATGCTGCGCCCCTCATGATGGATGTAGATGCATGTGTTGGTGTTGGTGGGATGGTAGCCATTGGCCTGTAGGTGACTGTTGATGGACTTGTTCCACACATATGGGGCCTGCTTCAAGCTGTACAGGCTCTTGATCAGGTGGCAGACGTGACTGGGCATTGTAGCTGACTTGAAGCCCAGAGGCTGAGTGATGTAGATCTCCTCGTCCAATTCAGCATGGAGAAAGGCAGTCTTGACATCCATCTGGTGGATTTCAAGGTTGAGCACTGTGGCCAGTGCAAGTAGTAGGTGAAGGTTCTCAAGCTGTACAACCAGCATGTAAGTTTCACTGTAGTCAACACTGTGTAGCTGAGAGTAACCTTTTGCCACCCATTGGGCCTTGTAGCACTCCCATCAGCCAGCTGCTTGACTTTGTACAGCCAGTGTGTTCAGATGGCCTTGTGGCCAGGCAGCAGTGTGACTAGCTGATAGGTCCCATTGTGGATAAGAGACTGGTGCTCCAGTTGCATGGCATTGTGCCATGCACTTGCCTGTGGAGACAACAGAGCTTCAGTGTACATGCTCAGTGTGTGTACTGGCGCTGGTGATGACAGCAGGGGGATTGGTGTGTGTGCCATGTGCTGATGCATGGGCGTGAATGTGCATTGTGGTCTGTTGCACATGCACATGCACTCTTCAGCCACAGAGGCCTGGAGGTGCCAATCATTGACCACCCAGGTGGAGCCGTCCAGGATGTGTCAGTTGGGCACCAGACTGTGCATGGAGTGACATGGTGGCACGGTGGTCAAGGCTGGGGTGCCTCTGACAGCTGTCACAGTTGCAGTTGTGGATGATGTGTGGGGCGTGGTTGGGCGTTCCAGGGACAGCTGTGCTGCCATGCACAAGCCACCCATGATCACTGGCATGGGTGGGGGAGAAACATAGTCCTCTCCACCAAAGTCGCCGTAGTGACTATTGTCAAGGCCCATAGGCCTGAATGGTGACATGGGCTCTGTTGGATCGTGATAGTCATCCATGATGGAATTGTCAATGCCTTCAATGTGCGTTTCATCAAGATCAGTCACAGCTTGAGGGGACAGCAAGTCAAGCAGAGACCATTCTTGGGGTAGGTCATTGTGTGCTTGGTCTTCAGTACTTTGACAAGCAACAGAGGCAGGCACAGGAAGTTGGAGTCATCATCAAAGACAACATCACAAGACTCTGTGATGTGCTTGCTCTCAAGCATCCAGAGGTGGTGGTGCAATCCATTGCTCACAGGGCTGAGGTAGAGGGCGTCATGCAAGTGCAGGTCAAGCTTGTTGCGCAGCCATGCAGGGATCAGCAGATGTGCTGTAGTTCCAAACACATGTAGGTTGGTGAGGTTGGGTCACTGACTGGTTGAACAGTGAGCTAGTGTGCTTGGCCTTGGTTGGGGTGTGATTGTTGATGAACATGGCTGTGCATACAGCCTCAGCCCAGAATTGGGCAGGTAGATTGGACTTGTGGAGCATGGATTGCATGAGGTTGAGGATGGTGTGGTTAAATCGGTCAGCCATGCTGTTGTACTCAGGGGTGTATGTGGGTGACATCTGGTGGTCGATGCTGTGGTCAGTGAGGTAGCACTTGAAGCTGGTGTTCTTGTACTTGCTGCCCTGGTTGGAGTGGAGCATGTGTATGTGGCCCTGTCAGGTGTTGGCCACCAGGAATTGGTGGAAGGCATCTGGCACTTCGTGCTTGGTGTGGATGAACTTGACATGCACATAGTGAGTGCAGTCATCTATAAACAACATGAAGTATCACTTCCAACTGTGGGATTCAACTGGCATTGGCCCACAGACATCAGAGTGGATGATGTGCATTGGGTGATCAGCACGCTTGGTGGACCCCCTGCATATGGCTGGTCTCAACTGCTTCCCCTTGATACAGGAGATGCAGTGTCCAATGGTGTCACTGCTCTGGACATGGCCACCCATCACTTGGAAGATGGCTTTCATGCGCTCTTCACTGATGTGTCCAAGCTGACAATGCAGCAACACAAGGGAGGGCAAGTGATGTGCTTGAGCAACGTTGACCTTGACAGGTGCCAGTTCTGCTGTAGTGAGCTCAAGCAGAACATAGAGCATGCCGCCCTCAGCAGTTGCAGTCAGGAAGATGTCAAGGGTGCTCAGGTTGTAGATCTGGCACCCATATCAATCCTGTAGCACAACATAGCCCATCTTGGTGATGCGGTTTGGCAAGATGAGGCTCTTGCACAGTTGTGGGATGTAGAGGACATTGGTGAGTGTGATGGTGACACAGCACTGGTTGATGACAATGTGGCTGTGTATGTCGCCCTGTCCAGTCACTTGGATGGTGGAGTTGTTGCTGAGGGTCACAGTGCTCAGTGTCAGCTCCTGGAACTGGTGGAGAGTGGCGCGGTCTGATGTCATATGTGATGTGGCGCCAGAGTTGAGGACCCATCAATTGGGAGTGATGCTTGCTCTGTTGTTGGTGTACAGTGCGTCCTCAGTCATGTTGGACTGGTGTGCAAAATGGCTGTGGTTGTGCTGGCTGGGTTGAGGATGCTGATTGTGTGGAGTGTAGTTGTCCTTGTGGTGTGGGCTCACCATGCATGTGCTTGTGGCACTTGTTGTGTGTGTGGCTGGTGAACTGGCAGTGGCTGCACTGCAGCTTCTCAGTTGTTGTGTGGGGTTGGCTGTGGTTGTGATGCTGTGCCTGTCCATTGTCATGCTGCTGGTGGCGTGGTTGCTGGTGCCTCTGGTGCTCCTTGTGGCTGGTATGTGTGTTGGCAATGAGGAGTGTCTCCTTTGGTGAGGAGGGGATGTCATGTAGTGACTGCTCGTGTTGGAGAAGTACTGTGTGCAGCTGATAGTTGTTGATGCTGTCCCACAGCCTGATGACAGGCTTGATGCTGTCAAAGCTGGATGGGAGGCTGGTGAGTGTGACTGTGGATCTTACGATGTGGTCAATGTGGTCAAAGTGCATGTGGAGGTCAGAGCTGGCCTCCATCTTCAGTGCATAGAGGTCGTTGTTGTACCTCATGAGCTCAGATGTCTTGTGAGGCTTGTAGTGCTTGCAGATTGCGTGATAGGCCTTGGCTGGCGTGTTGCAGGTGGCTATCAGCGGCTTGAGTGATGGGTCGATTGAAAGGTAGATGAGACTGAGGGCAATGGATGCCTGTTTGTTGAAGTCCTCCTGTCGTTGTAGGAGCTTGAGTGTGTGTTTGGTCGCTCTCTGAATGGTGACCTGCTTGGCCACCTGCCTGGCTTGGTCACGGTGTGCAGTGTTCTGCTGGTTGAGTTGGACCTGAGTGGCTGCATGGGCTACCAGATCTTCGTCCTCTCCTGGAGGTGGTAGTGTGTGGTTGGCTGACGCTGAGTAACTCCCTTGCATCCTAGGTTTATTACTAGGTAACTCTGTTACCAGGTAATTAACCTAGGAGGCTGGCTAGGATTCTGTCTGGGGAGATGGTTACTCGCCAACAAGTGGTGATCAATACCAACAGCACTACAAACGGCAAGCTGGCCTCTCCGGTGCCTAGAGTTGCGCAACGGCTCGACGTCCAGGCCGACCTCAACATGCTCCATTTCACCGCCGTCTTCTTGCAGAGTAAGTAACAATCTCTTTTTTCCAATTGTTTTGTGTCCAATCCTCACCACATTTTTGGTTCACCGCCTTTTCTCTTTGCGACAGGCGTGGAGCCCAGTTTGACACTTGAGTCCGTTGAGCTGTTCTCCGACACTGGGGATGGGCTTCAGCCTTGAATTCCTCTCCCCAACGGCGCCTTCAACAGCACAGGAGCCATCATGGACACCACCGGTGGTGGTGGTGGTGGAACCACCCAGTTTCGGTTCAACGCCACCACCAACGGGGGCATTGCGCTGGCCAACGGCACCAGCTACTGGCTCGTGCTGGCCTTCGTCGACGGCAGCTACTGTGAGCTCCAGGGCTCCACCGTCCCCTATGACGGCGCGCCAATCGGCGGCCTGGTCGGGCTGGGCGGCCGGGTTGTGGTGGAGCCGCAGCAGGGAGGGTGGGTCGACAGCAACGAGGTGGTGGCCCTCAGCATCGACATTTTCGGCTGCCTCCAGCCCTCGCCCTCACCCACACCTACTCGATCACCTTCCTCATCCCCGAGCACCTCGCCCTCACGGCCAACCTCAATCACCGGCCAAGTGAAAGCGATCGTCAACACCACTGCAACGTTCAGTGACGAAGGGCCGGCGGTGTCGATCACTGGCTCACTCCCTGAGTCTTCGTCAGCGGTCGCCGTGGAGCTGGGCGTCGCTGGCTTGCTACTGGGTGATGTGGCTGTGGACTTTGAAGCCTTAAACACCACCCGCATGGGCACTACCAGTGGACCATCATCGACCACCGCCTATGCCTACAGCACCCAGATCGAAGCCTCGACACTCACGCAGTCCTTCTCCCACTTCCACCAAGCCACGCCCATGTCGTTCGCTGGACTGAACTTCACCGCCCGCGACGGTACCGCCAATTTCACCGCTGCGGTCGACACCACCAACCACAGCCTCACCTCCAACGCGCAACGCAACGGCTTCACGATTCGCTATCGAGTGTCGGACCTCTCCACGCTCCGATCGCCGACGGCCGAGCAGCGGATCTTCAGGCGGGACGACACGCCGCAAGCTGGCATCACGACCTTCTACGTGGCGCTCCCCAAGACTTCCGGAGGCTCAGTCGATGATGCCGTGGCTCAGCTGGAGGTGCTTGGCGTGGCACTGGTCGACGACGCGGTTGTACCGCTGACTCACATGTCACTCGCAGTCGCCACCGAGTCTGCGGACGTCGCAGGGGCGAACAATGGGAGCTACGTGCTCGAGCTGGGCTTCCCGCCCTTCACCCAATTCGTTGTCTACGACCCCAGCCTGGGCCTGGGCGTGCTGATCGGTCGGCCGGGCGGAGATGGCTCATCGCCGTCGTCGTCCGATCTAGGCCTTATCCTGGGTGTGGCGGTGGCGGTGCCTCTGGCGGTGCTGTTCGTGCTGGCGGTCATCGTGGCGAGTCTAGTCGCGGTGCGTTGGTTCCAGTGGCGGCGCAACCGAAACCGGGCCACGGCCGTTAACTTCGGGGAGGCACCAACTCAGGCAGACCCCCGCGATCTGCTCTAGAGCACAACATCGCCAAACATAACATGAAGTGATTCGATCAAGAGCAAGGGACCACCCTCGAACGTTTGGAATGCGAGTCGGTACAAGTTAGTGCAATTGAAATTACACTTACTTGAAACGCTGACGTGGTCCAATGGGATGGTTTGGTGCGACTCGGATAGTAAACGAGTGGTGCGCTGCCGCACTTGGCACGATCGTGTCGACCAATTCCCCCGGGGCAGAAAGTCCAGCTTGTCATTTTCAGTATAAAACTCAACAAGATGGTGAAGGCGTGGCGTGCTGCACTCCTAGTGGCCCTCCTGGTCTTGCTCTCGGGCAGCGGCTTTCCCTTCCCTAACTCTCTCTTCGTTGGAGTGTCCGATGCTCAAAGCTGCAGGCAAGTGGTGACCAATACAAACAGCACTACGAACGGCAAGCTGGCGTCTGAGGTGCCTCGGGTTGCGCAACGGCTCGACGTCCAGGCCGACCTCAACGTGCTTCACTTCACCGCCGTCTTCTCGCAGAGGACTTCTTTCTTCTTCATTTTATTACTGTGGAATTTAAGACTATTTTTTCGTTTTTTGGTTAAAAAACCTAGCAAGAAATTACTTATAACAATAATCACTTCTTCCACTACCTCTTCGCCAGGCGAGGATCCCAAGTTGACTCTCGGGTCGGTTGAGCTGTACTCCGACACTGGGGATGGGCTGCAGCCTCGAATCCCGCACGCCAACGGCGCCTTCAACAGCACCGGAGCCCCCATCGACACCACCGGTGGTGGTGGTGGTGGAACCACACAGTTTCGGTTCAACGCCACCACCAAGGGGGGCATTGCGCTGGCCAACGGCACCAGCTACTGGCTCGTGCTGGCCTTCGCCGACGGCAGCTACCGCGTGCTCCAGGGCTCCACCATCCCCTACGACGGCGCGCCAATCGGCGGCCTGGTCGGGCTGGGCGGTAAGGTTGTGGTGGAGCAGCAGGGAGGGTGGGTCGACAGCAACGAGGTGGTGGCCCTCAGCATCGACATCTTCGGCTGCCTCCAGCCCTCACCCTCACCCTCGCCGTCGCTATCGCCCACGCCCATGCCCGCACCTTCCATGCCCCCGGCTGCCTCGCGTTCGCCCACCAGGTCGCCGACGCCGAGCCCGTCGGCCTCGCGCGCGCCCGCGGTGTCGCCGCTGGCGACCGGCGTTGAGGTGGATTTCGGCAGCGAGGAGCCCACCTTTGACCTTTCCGTTCCCCGCTCCTCAGGTTCACCAACCACCGCACGCGCACACGCACGCACCAGCGCTCACACACATACGATGTGTGCTGACTTAAGCACCTCAACTCAACACCAGGCACGAAAGTGGGCGGTTCCTTCCTCGGCTTGACTGTGGACGGCTGGTCGCTGGACCTCCGACGTACGTCACTCTGCCGTGCCCTCCACAAAAAGGGCTCTGACTGACCACACACCTATGACCCACCACACACCTCTGACACCTCTGACTGACTGCGCACGACACGACACGACCAACGACACGCCACACACCACACAGCGTACGATGTGAGCGTCGTGAACACGACAGTGGGCGGGGCTGATGAATCGTTTGTGGTGGAGACCCACACCTACGCTAGCCTGCTTGCCGACAACGCCACCACCTTTGCCCAGATCTTCGCCTTCTATGCGCAGGCGGTCGACGACACTGCGTTCGACGCGCTGGACCTCACCATCCGCCCCAACACCGTCAAGTGGTCCATCAACATCACCACCGCTAACGGCAACGCATCGTCGCTGAGCCAGCAGCCGTTCAGCGTCAGCTACAGGCTGGCCGACCTGACCGCCACCGAGGCCGCCGCGGCGACGGCGACGGTGGTCAAGCGCCGCGGGGAGCCGCGGGCCAACATGACCACCTACTACGTGCCCCTCACGTCATCGGGCACGCCGCTGGTGGCAGTGGTGGAGGTGTTCGACGTCGCGCTGGCCGACGGCACCCTCGTGCCGCTGGTGGGCCACGACGTGCGCCTCGCCAGTGGATTGCTGTCGCGGCGGGAGCAGGCGGTCTACGAGTACGAGCTGGTGCTGGAGTTCGCGCCGTTCAACCAGTCGCTGTACTACGACCCGTCGCTGGGCCTGGGCGTGCTGCTGGGCCGGTCTGACGCCTCTGGTGACGGCAATGGAGACGATGACAACCTCGCCTTGGTAGTGGCCACGTCGGTGGTCATCCCCCTGGCGTTCGTGCTGGTGGTGGGCGCCGTCGTGGTCGGCGTGGCGGTGCTGTGGTGGCGCAAGAGGCGCGCCAACGCCCATCTGCAGCACCAGATCGACCAGATGCGCGACAACAGTGCCCTCTGACCTACTCTCTGTAAAAATATATAAGACGGTTGGTGTAGGCACTCTGTTGTCTTCGTTGTCTTCGTTGTCTCCCTCTTCCTTGTTTTCGCCTGCGTGTGGCGTATAAATCTCGAACGCGTTGAATTTTTATGTTGGATGCGAAAAGAAGAGCCATCAGCCGCGCCGCAACGTTCGAAGTGCGACACCCCAACAGAGGGGTGGCGGGAGGGAGCAAGGGTATCGCTCAATTTACAGACTGGGCGGCGCAGCGTGAAGGGCTGGGAAGGAGAGAATGAAAAGAAGGTGAAGAAGGAATCGAATCTACGGGCGGCATGGTGGTGGGTAGTGCGTCGGTGGCGCGTGCTCGGTGGGGTAGGCGCTCTGTGGCAAGAGATGCGGGATCGTGTCCTGAAGTGTGTGTGTGCGTGCGTGCGTGCGTGCGTGCATGCGTGTGCGTGTGTGTGGTCAGAGATTATGTGATAGTCCGCGCCGGGCCAATCGACGCACGAACAGTCGGGACGAACTATTGGTGGGTAATCTGTCGAGTGCACGGTGATGGTGTTGTAGGGTGTCGCGTTGGTCGGCGCTCGGCTCGAGAAGAGAGGCGCCGTGTGGTAGGGACCCTGCGGTCCGGGCTCCGTGCCCTGTGCCGTACCGTGGCCCAGCAGGTGCCCTATGCAAAGGATGTAAAGAGACTTGTGAAACACAGAAACCTCACTACACACACGACACACACAACACGGTATGATGAGTACCACGTTCCTGGGCCAGTGTTTTGTAGTAGGTGCGAGCACAGCACAGGCAACTCATCTGCAGATTCCAACAATCGTAAATGGGTGAGCAGACAAGCTGACAACGGGCGCCGAGAGCTGGTGGGAAGTGCGTGCGTACGCAGCAGCCCATGGTAATGACGAGCTGGACGATGGCCGCAGCGACGAAGAGGTATCGTGTGGTGTTACTATTGCAGTCGGTGTTGGATCCGAACTTAAGCTGCTCCTTCTCGCACAGCTCCTCCCAGTAGCCGCGGTCCAGCACGATGATGTACACCACCAGCACCGTGACCATCAGCACCGCCACCACGATCAGCGCCCAGAAGTACTGCACAACGCGACCGGCGGTCGCAAGTGAGAGTCGTGTGTGTGTGTGTGTGTGGCTTCGAGCACCACCGCGAAAGAAGTGGAAGAAGAGGGAAGCGCGTACACGCTTGGCGGCGCCGATGGATGGCCGGAAGCCGGCGTAGAGGCCAAGCAGGCCCACGCACACGGTGACCCCACCCACCACGAAGTCCGCCCACGCGAGACCACCGACCACGCCGTAGACCAGCTCTGCAAAGCCCAGCACCTGGGGAGCACGTACAAAAGAGCAATAGGGAGCAGAGATAGAAATAGAGGTTAAATAAAAGATATAGCGTGCATATACGTGTATAAAAGATATGTTGAGGTGCGTACCACAAGGGCAAAGCCGAAGAACTTGATGAAGTTGCTCCACCGTCTCACCCGCATTTTTTTTTCACTTTAGGCCGCTGCAACCCGAGATTGGCGGGTCAGCACAAAATTCATCCAAGATGGAACTCCCTCCTACGTTGGTTGTCGAATCAATACCGTGCTCGTTACAGAACCGCCATTGACAATTTTGCGGCCGCGGCTTTTCTCTGTGGGCCTGAAGGAAAACCTCCCGGAAATGCAAAAATAAATAGGCTATTATTGTTTGTTGTCGACTAAGCACTACAGACCTCACTCTCAGTACCAGCCCGAGGCCTTGCCCACCTTGTCGACCTTGTTGCCGACCCGGCGGCCCTTGCTCTTGTAGGAGTTCCTGGTGTCGCCGCCGCTGCCCTTGCTTCGCTTGGCCAGCTTCTTGTTGATCCTCTTCCTGATGTGGAACTGGAGATCGCCCTCGGCAGTCCTCTCGCCCTCCTCCTCACCTTCTTCAGTCTGCCCTTCGCCTTCGCCTTCAATCTTGCCCTCTCCCTCCCCTTCTCCTCCATCTTCCTTCTTTTCGCCATCGACGATAGGGTCTGCTGCTTCTTCTCCGTCGGCCTCGTTGGACGCCGCCGCCTCGTCGATCTTTGTTGCGTCGGTCGTGCTCGTCATCGCTCGAGCTGTCGTCGCTGTCCTCGTCGCT